ACGTTTGTTGTGTCAATGTTGCTTTCCTATTATCTGACTTGGCCGATGATAGCAATGCTAGTGTGTTAATTTTGTGCAGGCTGCTGAAGATAAGAAGACAAACTCTGAAAACAGCAAGGCAACCCCATTATTTCTTTCCAATAAATCTAGGCCAGGTAATATGGCAATAACTCATGATTAATCCGTTTGGTTCCCGTCCTAATTTATGTTATGATGCAGTGGTCGAGACACTCTCCACTATCAATAATACAAGCCTGCCAAAATCGCCATCTGAATCTGATCAGTATCCTCTGTCTCGAATGCAACGGAATAAATGTATGTTTGTGAACCAATTAATGGCTGAAGCAATGATGGAAATGGTGGATGAATCAGAGGTGCAGAGTCGTGCGACACAACAACTGATCAATGTTTTCAGAGACAGTGTAGCAAAGCAGCAAGAACTTGCCCACATGCTTATGGGCATCATCTATGCTGAGGTTGTAGATTGTGACGTTGTAGATGGTTAGGTTCTGCTCATTTATTTGCACTGGCATCAATCTTTGATTGCCCAGTGGATGTAATTTCATGTAATATATGCTGGATGTGCAACATTATTCCCTGTATGTCGTACCTTTGCTTGATCGATTTTGGTCCTGTGCATAATTGCTCATCGTAATGGGCTCAAATTATCTAATATGGCCTAAAGACATGTACGAACTTTAGTGGGCCCATTAAGTTAATGGGCCATTACTAGGCCGAAAGTTAATGGTTGGACCTCTTACCTCCCGGGTCGTTAACAGGCCGACATCGGAGCAGGCAACACGTGGCCCCAATTTATTTTACGGGCCGTTAACATGCCATTACTAAGTTTGGGCTACATATGGCCCAACTATACTATAGGCCTTTAGCAGGCTGAAAGAGACAGCGGGCTTGTACTGGACCATGAAGAGCATGGGCCACTAACAAGCCGAAAGTCAGGTCGTATTGTAAATGGCCCAACTGTGTTGTGGGCCTTTAGCAGGCTGAAAGAGAAACCGTTAAATGGGCCGTTAACGGGCTCGAACTAACGATGGGTTGCAATGGTGTCAAATCTTTAGCGGGCCGTTGACGGGCCGAATTGGCACATCTCGTATGGGTCGTGGGCTTAAATGGACGTGACACAAGTAGGCCTTATATGGGCCGGCCTGCCAATTTTTACTAGGCCGACCTTTTTCATCAGAATGGGCCACTGTTGGGCCGTGCCACGTGTCGACCTATCATAGGCGCCTCCTGTCCAATGAGTGGATGACATCCGTCCCAACGGTGAGGCAACACGTGTTTCCTGCGGCCAATGATGATTTTACACGTGGAAAATCCCCATTGGTTCGGGCTGTTAACGGGTTATCAGATCCAAAACCGAACCCGATAGCTTAACAACGTTCCGTTACGGTGGATGCCACGTGTCGGTCACCCTTGACGAAAGCACTTATGTGACGCGCGATTTATTGTCATGGAAGTGGACACTTCCATGATGATAATTTTGGTAATGTCATGGAACACTTCTACGACAACACAGGTATGACTATCTTGATTCTGTCATAAAATCGTCATGGATGTACATGCATGACAAAAAATGTGACCTACTGTGACAAACACGTATCATCACGGAAGTGTATTTTTTTGTAGTGTGAGAACATCGAAGGAAAAGAATGAATAGACTTCTCATGAATAAAATGGATACTTGATTACGAAATCTGAGTCCTTGAAGAAAATGGTGGGAGGGTGGGAAAAACAAAGGCAACTTGGGATGGATGAAACGACAATCCTCAAGCTTCTCAACGGCGCCCGTATGAAGTAACTTGAATAGAAGTGCACCGGTTGAAAAGGATTGACATGACAATCTCAATGATCCAGAAGGATTAGCATTCACATAGAAATATGAGAACACTACTTAAAAAAAGGTATGGGTCAACTCTTGACTTCGAAGCAACTCGAGAACCACAACTCAAAACAAAACAAAGGATTGGCTTGGGAAATAAGCCGGAAACAAACATATGATAGAGATTTCCCTAATCCCATATCATGTATCTGTCGGAAAGATATCCTGGGTAACTATTTGAATTCCCACCTATGAACTCTGGAAATTCTCGGTTATGCAATCCGGTACAACAAGTACAAGGAGCAAAATATCATCACATAACTCCTAGCAGAATTCTACGCTCCAAATGTACTGCCTGCTCAACACATAACCAAGAACCTCAGAAATTGTGTACCTCAGACCCTCGAAAAACATCTGATAGACTAGCTGTGGCAATACATCTGATCGCTCTCCCCAGTACTGGGTGGCGCCAAACTACTCTCACCACAAAGAGTATAGAAGCATTTTCGATGTCAGCGTCCTCTGGTATTCCGGAACTGTAACGATAACAACTGTGACGAAAACACCTTGGAGCTCAACTCCCCGGGACACTGCCACAACCCCTAAATGTCAGGAGGCACCAAGAACAGAATTTCCGTCACATCGATATCGCAACGATTCCATAATACCCGCGTGATCCTAAAAAAAATTGAGTGAAAAGGGAGAGTGATGGAAACAAAAACACCTACATCGCAATTCCTCACCAAAGCAACAAAGGGGATAAGGAGTAAAAAGAATTCCTACTCTCCGATATAACTAGACTCAAAATAGTTTTTTTTCTAGACTCGGCAACATCAACGATTCGGTCAATCAAGGGGGCTCCTAAGGGCGGTAAGGCTCTGATACCAACTTGTATGCGCTCGAAATGCGATTGTGCCCCAATCATGAATTCATCACGTGATTGGGATAGAATCGCATCTTGGGCGCTACAATTGCACCGCTCCTTCATCTGGGCAAATGTTCGACAGATGTCGGGAGCTCAATACCTTGTTGCCTGAGAGCGCGATTGTCACCAAAGGAGGAGGGTGGCCGTGTCATTCGCTCCGTCGCCACCAAAGAAGGAGGTTGTTGCTCCGTCTTCACTCTGTCCATTGAGAGGATGGATGGGTGACTGCGCCGGCTTGGGGGTGGACATCCCCCTCTTGCTGCTTTGTCGGTGGTCACCATCGTGACGACATGTCAGCACCCATGTTCATGTTGCTCTGCCGCTGACACCTTTGGGAGCACAAGAACAATGCCGTTTTCAACTCGGCAGTGTTTTGTTAAAGAAAACTCGCAAGTGCCTTCGCTCCCGCGTCTTAAGAAGCATTGCCAGAATGACGCGACCTTTTGTCAACCGCGTCTACCACGCGGTGTTAGCACGATGATCTCAACTTGGTTGTGCATTTGTTCCCGCGTCTTAAGAGGCTCCGCCGGCATGACATGAGCACATGATCCTCATGCAATCGCGACCGCCGCATGCCGTTCAACCCCCTCCCCATATTTTGTCCTCTTAAAGAGGAGGCCCAACGGCAGTTGTAAATTTATGGTTTGACAATTTTATTTGTCCTTGATTTCCTTCTTGGTTCAGAATACGCGCGTAGTGATATGCATAACACCTCAAGTGGGGATGACAGGGAGAATGGGGAAAAAGGATGTCCCACTGACAAGTGATTCTCACGATTTGGAGGCAGCCAAAATATGTCTTGACTTTGAGCTTGCGCATCACCTCATCAGCCTCCATATATGCATATGTAGTGCTCTCCGTTGGGTTATAGAGGCTGCCAATATTGCGATTTTGATAGGGTTGCTCAAAGAGAGAGAATTACCCGGGTTGAAATTGATGCACCTACTTCCTCCGTTCCTAAATATAAGTCTTTTTAGACATTTTAAATGGACTACAACATATGGATGTATGTAGATATATTTTAGAGTGTAGATTCACTCATTTTGCTCTGTATGTAGTCATTTGTTGGAATCTCTAGAAAGACTTATATCTGGGAACAGAGGGAGTACTTGCCAATTACATTACATCTGTAAATATCAGTCAGAGGAGATCGGGTGTTCAGTTCAGCATTCAGCAAACAAGCACCCCTGGCACTTCCGTTTTGCCGCTGCCGAAAAAGAATAGTATAGGTGTTCAGGCTTCAAACATCAAAGGAGACGGATCACTAAAGCAACCGTCAGGTTTGCAAAAAAGCAGGCAGGGGGTAAAGATGACCCGCCGTTCCTACCTCCCAGTATGAACTAGGATATGTAGTTTACTGCAGGCATAGCATCACATGAAAAATAAATAGTGCCAGTGGAAAATGCATCTCCTGCTATCTGATTGTGAAGCTCTTGAGTATCACATCAACGATCATGAATTCATCGAGCTGCTGCTGAAACAGAATTGGTCAGTACAGCAAGCTCTGCTGAAACAGAATTGCTGTCAAAGAAAATGCAGAAGGATACTGGTGCTGCTGTTCAAAGTATTACTTATGGGGAATCAATGAACCATGTATTTTCAACTTGTTCAGATGACTGCAATTGAGCGCCTTGCATTTCAACATTGTCGCATTGTCATGCATATAATGCCAATGGTCCTTGAAAATAGGTATGGAGGTTTACTGACTTGATTTTAATATAATCACTGCTGCCAAACTGAAATAGCCAAGCTTAGTCAAAATTCTCAGGCTTACACAGATATTGGCTTTATTATGCTTACTGTTTGTGCTTGTAGTGCTTGTCTACGAAACCTGATGTGTCAGACCAACAAGAAGCTGCCACAATCCGTCATCTCTTTCTGTTCCGCTTTTAGCCAAGGATGTCCTATATTGCATGCCAACAAAGCATGCTTATTACAAGGGTGCTCCTATAAGCAGCATGTACAGTCTTTCTAACTGAACCACTGCCAAGTCTCAGACATCACTCTTTGAGGGAAGACCCTGCACACAGATGTGACTGCAGTCCATATAAAGCAACTTATGTTTTTTTCCTTGTGGAATTGGGTCGATATGCCCTAATAGTAGAATGCCTGGCAATCACTGAATCACATCACATCTGGTCATCAAGTGTCATTTGGTATCAAGGTTGCAAATTTGAGGTCCTGACATCAAATGTGCATGGACACTTCAAATCTTTGATATCCACCATAAAGGATGCTCTACCAATAATCATTGCATGAACACTGGCCTCCCTCGAAATGATGAAATCGGGTTCTGTCTCTTACAATCACTAATCGGTTATAAACGCCAGAAAATACCTTCGTGAAATTGTGGCAATCTACACAAACACGGAGATTCTTTGCCAGCCGTATTGGTCTACGCTGTGGCATCACAAGAAGAGCAAAAGCGATTGCTAGCTTTTCACTGTGATAGGTCAGGGCACATTCCTTCCCCTCTGAATCCAAATCATGCAACTCAGATGACACATTTGGAACATAACCAGCAATTCTCAAATGCCTGTTTATCTCATCAAGCTTCCCGTAAATCTCAGCCTTTCTTGGATGTGAATCATCATCTGCAATAAATTCATGGAGCTCACCGTTAAGCTCTACAGTTGTGCAGCCAGGGGTAGTTTGGATTCCATTCTCCTTCATCAACTTCCTAACTTCCGCTACCTTTATCCAATCCCCAACCGCCGCATAGGTATTTAACAGTAGAACATAATCACCAGCTTGCTGCGCTTTCAGTTCAATTAGATGACTGATGAGCTTCTCTCCAAGATCAACATGACCATGCACCCGGCATGTACCAAGAAGAGTTCGCCAAATTGTCGCATCAGGTGCAACCTTCATCTCTTTAACCACAAGCTGGTATGCTTCATCAAGCAACCCAGCACGGCCCATTAGATCAACAATGCATCCATAATGGCGAACATTTGGCATCATCTGATACTCACAGCGCATCATATCAAAAAACCTGAAACCCTCATCAACCAACCCACTATGGCTGCATGCAGAGAGCACACCAGTAAAAGTCTGCGCATCAGGAGCAACACCTGATTTACTCATTTCCTCAAATGCCAAGATAGCATCCTCCCCGAAGCCATTTGCTGCTAATCCCGAGATCATCGCACTCCATGTGACCACACTCTTCCGAGGAGTCTCACAGAAAACCTGGTACGCCTTCTCCACACACCCGCACCTCGTGTACATCGTGATCAATGAGTTGCGCACCTTCAGCTCGCCACCATAACCATGTTCCACCGCATACTCCCAGATCTTCTCCCCGAAGTCGAGCGCGCCCAGGCTCGTGCATGCCTGGAGGAGCAGAATGCAGGTCACCTCATCCGGCCCCGCCTCACCATCACCTTTCCTCATCTCATCGAAGAGCCTCAGAGTGTCCTTCGTCCTCTTATTCCTCGCGTAGCAAGTGATGAGAACGTTCCACGCGACGGTGTCCTTGACAAGCATTTCGTCGAACACCTTGCGCGCGCTGTCCCCGGCGCCACAGGTGGCATAGGACCGCATCAGCGAGGTGGCCAGAAGGGCGTCGCGGAGGTGGCCCTCGGCCACGACGTTGGCGTGCAGCTGGCGCGCGTGGGCGAGGGTGCGGCAGGGCTTGAGGATGATGGCCAGGGAGAAGGCGTTCCCGCGGCGCCCGAGGCCGCGCATGCGGCGGAGGAAGCCGAGGGCGCTGGGCTCCGAGAGGGAGCGGAGGATGGAGTTGCAGCAGAAAGTGGAGGGGACGGAGGCCGGGGTGAGGTGGTGGTGGAGGACGGCGAGCGCGCGGAGGGGCGGGAGGGAGGCGGCCGCGAGTGAGAGGAGCGCGGCGGCGGCGGCGGGCGCGAGGGGGAGGACGCCCGTGCGGAGCAGGTGCGCGTGGAGCTGGAGGAAGCGGCGCACCGGGAGAGGCGATGCCGAGGCGAGGAGCGCGGCGGCGGCGGGGGAGGGGGATGCGGAGGGGACGGGGCGGAGGGCGCGCGACACACGCGGCGCCAGTGCCATGGCAGTGGCACGAGAGGGCGGGAGACGGGAGTGACGGCGTCGTTCAATTTTGCGTCCACGAATAAATGGGAAATCATGGATTCGTGTTTAGAGTTTGGACCCGATAAATCCCCTCAGATTTTAAGCATGTCATTTCGAACATTTTTCATGGCAACTTTAGTTGTTAAAACATGACAACTTTGTCTCAGTTCATTTTTTTTAAAAAAAATATCATGTTTGCCAACCTCACGTGAACTAAAGTTGCTGGTGATTCTGAAGTTGATAGGAGGTTTCTGCAATCTCTGAAAGATCCTGTGCAAAGGAAGTGCAAGAGAGCGCGTGGAGAGGATCATAGCAGCTATCTGGGAGGCTGCAAAAAGACCACCTCTGCTGCTCAGGATGAGGAAGAGGGAACTCTCGCTACAATATTCCTTGAAGAAGATGGGAGGATGGATGGGAGTAGACAAGATGGTGATCATGGAGGGATGATACTTCTGTCACCTTCCTTTTGGGTGGTGTTGTGCCAGTAGTTTTTCCCAATGCCTTACGCTTGGTATAGACTGATTCTGTTATGGAAAGTAGAGTTTTATGTTTCTGAATCCGTAGGCTGTAATAAGGATGTACTCGGTGGTTTGTTTTCTGATGAAAATGGAACCGGGGCTGATGCCCTTTTCTTTTAAAAAAAAACTAAAGTTGCCACGAAAAAGTGGATTGCCATGCTTAAAATCTGAACATTCGGAATTTATCTTTTCCGTAAAGTTTGTGGTTATTTATGCCGACACCATGATTTCGAGAAAGTAAAAACACTAGCCGTTTGGAGGATGACGACGGCTTGATTTTGTTTTATGGATGTGTACTATACTTTAATTTGTGTATGTAACTATGTATGTAAACTTGTCATTTGTGTATAACTGTATGATTTTGAGTTTATTTTTTTGATGATGCTAAGAGGAGCAGATGAACTAGCTTCGTAGTCATTATTTGCATTTTGGGCTGAACATGCATGGCAATTAAATACGAAGTACCTCGTTGTCGTTGCATTTTTTATGTGTGATTTTATTGATGCAACTGCATATTTTGTGTGTGATTATACTAACAAAATAGGGAAAATATCTTTAGATATGTATTCGCAGGTGCATGGATTAAAAGTATATTTTAGCACTCTTTTGAATTTGAACGATTTTGTTCAATTGTGCTTGTACCATACGTCGTCTTGCACTCTGGAAGCACTGGTGCACAACAAAAGTTGCTCCATTTGGCTTCAATCGACTTAATTGATTTCCTTCCAATTTTCTACACAACAAAGGAAAAACAAGTTTTCTTAATATCGAAAACCTGGTGAAAACCGTGTCAAACCCTCTACTAAAAGTGGCAAAATATCAAACCACCATCGGGCCCTATCCCAAGGTTCAGCAGGGAGTTGTGGGCGGTTTCTGGGTGAAAGTTCTATTGATCGGCCAGGGTCGATGCCGGAGACAATAGCGCCTGGGGCATTATTCTTCCTTCTTGAAGGCGTCTCGGGCTACAGGTAGCAAGCATGTTGGCGGTGGAGGTCCACTTCAGGCGGCGGCGGCGGCTTTGTTGGTTTTATCTTTTTTTTGTGGTCATTGTTGGGTTTTTCGATTGATTGTCCCTTAATCAATCAAGTTGTTGTGTGGTCTTGGTTTTCGGCCTGGTTTTACTTATAAATCGAGCCAACTATACTCTTCTTTATGAAATCGCAGGAACCCTACCCTCTCGATGAGGTCCCAATAATAAAAATGACTACGTTTATGTTCGTTTAGTATACCACAGTCAGATGTTTGAATTCCGAGTCAAATTCAAATTCAGACACATATGCATGATACCACATCAGTTCTTTTTCATTTATCTCCTCATCCACCTCCAGCAAATCATCATCAACGTGCCTGCCCATTCCCATACACGCATGGGAGATCAATGGGAGCAAGCACTTCCAATCAGCGATACAATCAACCAACCAATGGGGCTGAACACAAGTTCTTTTTTCTCGCATAGGCGAGGCTCAGTTCTTGAGCTCCGGGAGGAGCAGCCCACCGGCGTGCATCTGCTTGTACATCCACTGCCAGTTCTCCGGCCTCACCTCCCCGCCGAGGGCCCTGATCACCGACCCGCCACTGCACGCCCCGACCTTGCAGCACTCCTCCAGGGGGAGCCCTTTCACCAGCCCGTACAGGAACCCGCTCGCGAACAGGTCGCCCGCACCGGTCGCATCCACCGCATTGCTCTCCCCGATGGCCGGCACCTGAACAACCTGCATGCACAGATCATTTGGCTCAGCTTTACAAGCTGAATCAGGATCAACTACTGCTAGCATCTCTCTTTTGCTCCTAGGCAAATACATGCTGGTTAGCATCGGCACTCTATTGCTTGGCTGTAATTGGTCGGAAGATGGAGAGAACATTGTTGATGTTTTGATGCTTGAGTCTCACCTGCTTGCCATGTTTTGCGATGCACCCCTTTGAAGCGAGAGTCACAACGGCCCATTTGCAGTGCTTGGACAAGAACGCAAGCGCATCCTCTGGATCATATGTCAGCCCTCCCCTGCACACACAGACAAATATCGGATGCATAATAAGGGAATGAAAAGAAGGCCATCAACAGTTTGCTACAGAAAGAAAAAGAAAAGGATTTGCTTTGCAGTTTGAATTTACCCCTTCTATTTTTTCCCTACTTAAATATAATGATTTATAGTAGTAGAGAAAATCACCCTATGATCTCCCTAGCTTCATCCTCATTGGCGAAACAAAGGTCAATGTTGCCTGTCTCCAACAGGGCAATTAGTTGTGACCTATAGTCGCGAACCATCTGCACAAATGAGATAAAGCAAAGAAACTAAATCTGTCTGTTTTTGCAAATAAAAATCAACTGAGCAATGAGCTTGTTAAAGATGTAGTCAAACCTCAAAACTAGCCAAATCTAATGATACCGAGAGACCTTCTTGTTTTGCAACCCTGATAGCCTCAATAATCTGAGCAAGGTTTTGTTGTGCATATCTCACAACCAGCCACTGCATCACGTCAGTATCCAATGATGAAAAAGGTATCCAGGTTAGACATACATTTTACAGAATTTGCTTTCCGGGCAGCAATATATGATCGAACATGTGTGCACAGATTGTAGAGTAAAAGGAAAAGGAAGCCACCTTGGAGCCTTGGAAGTCCTCCTTAGTGAACTCATTGGCCTGTCACATGTTCAAATTGTGAGTCCAAGATTAGGATTGTTGAGAGAAAATAGCTATATACTACTAACATTTAAAACTGAGTGAAACAACGGGTTACCTGGAGCTTGACTGCACTAGATAGGCATGGGCGCATGGTGCGATTGCCACTTGCATCAACCAAGCATGCACACTATAATGGTACTCTTTTCAGCCTTGTCCACTAAGTAGCAAAATAAGGGGAATAACATAAAGTTGGCTTTGGATTTTAGACTACCTGTGCAGTGTGCCCCTTTTTTGCCCTTAATCTTGTGAGATCTACACCACTAAAGCTCATGTTGTTGACAAACAAAATACCCTGGTCATCATCTCCGCGAGCTCCAATTATTCCAGTTGATATCCCAAAACCAGCTGACAGACCCCGAACTGTGTTGGCAACACTACCACCAGCCATAGTTCTTACTGGAGAGGGGTCGTCATGGGAAGGAAGGATAAGGGCATTCACTTCATTCAGAATATGATCCAACTCCTCAAAAGATACCTGTGATCGTAATACAATTGTCAAATAAATTCACAACGTAACCACTGAATGTAAGGTCACAATCCCCATATAGGAATGCCATATCAGTTACTCCCTCCATCTCATAATATAAGACGTTTTTGCAAGCCAACATAGCTTGCAAAAACGTCTTATATTATTGGACGGAGGGAGTATATTATATTTTTAAATGTTTCCATGCACAGCCAATCCACGACTCTTAAGAAATAGTGTGTGATGTAGAGTTGTAGATAGAAAAAAAGGACAAATACATTGTTCTTCAGTCCAGTTTATTAATATCTAAGGCCTATAAGAAGTGAATGAATGTTGACTACAAACACTATATCTTCATTTTTCAATTTTCATTGATAAGTTTGCCTCTAAACTGTTTTTCATGTGCAAGTGCTTTTGCGTTGCGGGATACTACCTCCTAAACCAATATGGCATGCTCTTGGACTTGTACTAAAACAAGAAGAATGATATTGAGGTTTCCCTTTTTGCAAATTTGACAAGACTTCAGCAAGGTGAATTGTAGAATCACCTATCTCAGTCCCTCAGTAAGACAGGAGATAATTTGATAGATGGAGTGAGTGTGGTTAATACAAATTTGCCGTCTCAATTGAAACTTCACGGGCATCATTTGTTAAAAGGCATAATAAAATCACATGATTTAGAGAAAATACATATGCCAAATTTAGCGATCCAAAGACGAAGATGGAATCTCAGAATCACGAAATTATTGTTTCCTAATGAGCAAGTACCATATTCTAGAGATGACAACAGGACTCAGCAGCTGTGCATCAAAATGTTCTGAATGTATGGTCTTAAAATGATGTATCAAGGTACCACAAAAGCATAATCTGCTTCATTTCTTTCCAGAACCTCTTTTCTGTTTCATAATTGGATCTGGAGTTGAAACATGAGAATGAGACACTATAACTATCGACATTTTCTGACAAGATGTTGAGCTTGCAACTATATGTTGTGTAAACGGAGGGTCAAGAACACTAGGTGATAGTGACAAGGTGTTGTCCGGTACAAAACATGTACCAACCCCAAGACCTAACTCAAATAACCTAGTCGATGGACCAATCAGGCTGTACGACATGAAGCCTTATTTGACAATTCCAGAAGTGTGCAGGCCAAACCATAAACAAGCCTTTCAACAATGAAAGCAACACAACATATAGTGTATTGTGTACCCGAATCTACCCAAAGTAGTGCTTTACTATTTTTATTTGAATTCAGTGCAGAGAAGACTGCAGTGGTACGGGAGGGGTGGGGGGCGAATCTGCACTGAGCTAACCCCCAAAGCCAGAACTAGCAAGTCAAACACTTTGAAGAATACTGAAGAATCTTTGACGCCCACATAACAAAGAGGGTCACAAAAATAACACAAGAGAATCACAAAAATGTACGGGGAAGCCCGCTGATTTTTAAGGAGGCGAACAGTTCAGTAACTTGAACTTTTTGATGCAGAAAAGGAGGAATTCTGCAATAGAGAGTGAAGGATAGCACGATATTATTTTAGGGGCAGGAGATCCAAATATCACATGGCCGGCAGCTAGGAACAGCAAGAAACGTATGGTGGCGGCGCAGTTTTCTTCTGAGAGTGAACAGAGTTCTTTTAGGCTGAACCCACGAGACGAGAGTTGCAGGAGCACATGGCGATCCACCGGTAGCTCAATAATTGGAGACAAAGCGGGGCGGCAGTCCGTCTCGGCGTACGTACTCTAGCGAGACGAATCACGACGGCGTGCGCAAAGCGTTGGGAGAGGGAAGGGTCAGGATGGACCTGCTGCGAGCCGCCGCGGTCGCCGGGGACGCGGTCGAGGAGGGACCAGTCGACGCGTGCGACGTGGTCGATCAGCGCCGACACCTGCAGCCCCACCACCGCCGGCGGGTCCGCCTTGCCGGCCTGGGGGAAGGGAGGAGGAAGCTGCTGCTGCTGCTCTGCCTCGGCGCCCATGGTTTCCTCTCCGGGGCCCCTTGGGTCCGCGGCCCTCCTCCCTCCGCGCCCACCCGGCTTTGTGGAGGGAAGGGTCGCCGCCGGCGTCTGAGTGGCGCTGTGCGGCGGGGGCGGTCGGGGTCTGTTGGAACCTGGAAGGAAAGATGGGTTCTCCCTGTTTTATAGAGCAGGAGGTGAGGACGAGGCTCGCGTGTCGCGTCACGATTAGACGGAGAAAATTAGATATTTGCCACATTCTTATTTCGAGCTCAAATGCACCTTTGTAAACAGTAAAAAATAATAAAAATGACAGATATTTTTTAAAAAACTAATATTTTTGCAGCAAACATTGTTAAATGTTCTACATACCTGCAAATTTCCGTGGAGAAAAACATTATTTAATGCTTAGGGCTAAACAAAAGTGCTTCAAAAAGACTATTTTTGAAAGAATTTTAATGAGCTGATTTTGTTAAAAAAAACAAATCTCCATGAATGTGATTTCATCATGAAAATTTGCAGCCATACAAAAATATAAAAATGGTTATTGTGTAAAAACAATATTTTTGAATTTGTTTATATTTTTATTTATTTTATTTTTTATAAGGGTGCATTTGAGCTCGAGATTATTAGGAGGACATTTTTCGTTTAGTAGGCAACAAAATACTACTCCCTTCAATCCACAATAAGTGTCACAATTTTGAACTAAGGTTGAACTAACCTTAGTTTAAAACCGTGACACTTATTTTGGATCAATGGAAATAATAATTTGCAGCAAAGAGCATAAGGGCATGCTTGCTTTGATATCAGATTTGGTTTGCCAATGTTTGGACAAAGCGAAAAATGTTGGCTATGTGGTTGCTTACCAAGTTGCATTGCCCACCTCTAGATAAGTTCCCAATTGTCCACAAGTTTGGCAATTTAGAAAATATGACTTGTCAAGACATTGATTTGTGGATTTTGTAGGCCTACATTTTTTTCCCATGATTTATAGATTTTCTGAGTACAACGTAGTCGCAAAACAGTTAATACTTGTAGCATTGGCCTTCATAGTGGACGGGAGAAAATGAGCGGTTTGAGGACGATATAAGATTAGGACAACAAGATGACTGTTGATGGAGATGAAAAAGTATGTGGTTGTTGGCAAGGTGACGAGTCCCCACGGTATCGACAAAGGAGTGCCTAACATGCATCAACATGAGGTTGTTGGCGGTGACGACAAATCTGAGGAGGTGTGTGGTCCAGAGAGAAGGAAATGCACGAGGAAGGTGAAGTAATGAGGGCGGGGTGATATATCAAAAATGTATTTATTCTTCAAAGTTTAATTGTGTTATTACTTATAAAACTGATTGGCTTTGAGGACTAGTATACTAATAGCCATCATAAACCACGTCCCTCTGGAAGAGGCTATTTCTATGACTTAAGAAGATAAAAATCTAGAGAGAAAAAAACCACGCGATATCAAAAGAAATGACCCAAAAGGAATGTGGAAGGGCGACCGAAGGTGCCAACCTCCACCGCCCTTCTGCCAATGATTTCCTATTATTCCCTTTTCTTGTTAATTATGTGATTTTTCTTCATCGTACAAAGAGCATGCCCAGAAAGAAGAGGAGAAAAGTAATCATTT